ACACACACACACGCACACACACACACACACATACACACATCGTACCGCCTCGTCATCCCGCATTCCTGAGAGAAGCTAACTCCTGCGCATGCATTCCTGCTAACGCTCAAGCTAGTTAGCTCCCCACTGCGTGCCTCGAGATCACGTATTGTGCGTGTGACGATGTGGATGTGTGTGTCGCATGGTGACTGGGATGGAGATAATGCGATTCTAGCATATAGACGTGTAGCATTTAGAGCTACGGTGATTTCATGATCACCGTGTATGAATCACTGCTGTGCACTGCGAGCGACTGTCAACGTGATACACGCTACTGCTGCTACTGCTGCTGCCGCCGCTGCCGCCGCTGCTGCTGCTGCCGCTGCTGCTGCGCGCTCTCTCTCTCTCTTTTCTCCCTCTCTCCTTTTCACTCTATTTATCTATCTATCTGTGTACATATCTATCCACCTGTCTGTCTGTCTATCTATATATCTATCTATCGATCTATCCATTTATTCATTTATCTATCTATCTATCTATTTATTTATATATCCATCCATCTATCTATCTATCCATCTATCTATCTGTATTTACCTATCCATCTATCTCGCTCTATCTATCTATTTATCTATCCATCCATCTAGCTATCTATCCATCTATCTATCTGTTTATTTACCTAACCATCTATCTCGCAATTTTTCTCTCTCTCAACGACTGTGTGGATTTACTGTGGTAATCAAGAAAGCCAACCTAACGCGTTATAGAACAGTGTGGAATTGTTACGAGACGAGCTGATTATTGTTCCTGATCTATTATATGTCAGGATGTGAGCGGCTTGATGGAATCACCCTTCTCTCCTACGTTCCTCTGTGTGGGTGCGTGCGTGCGTGCATGCCTGTGTGCCTGTGTGCGTACATGCCTGTGTGCGTGCATGCCTGTATGCCTGCGTGCGTGCATGCCTGTATGCGTGCGTGCGTACGTGCGTGCATGCATGCCTGTGTGCGTGCGTGCGTGTGCGTGCATGCGTGTGTGCGTGCGTGCGTGTTTCTTTGATAGCGGCATTAGTCCTCATATATTGTCGCACGGCTACCCGCCTCAATGCGACCGGAAATTAAATGAATTCTGTTTTCGTCGGCCGCCGTCGTGACCGGAGATACAGAAGGTGGCAGTGTTAGGCGTTAGCTTACGTAACACCCCCCTCCCCCTTCATCCTCTCCTTCTCTCCATCATCCACCCGGTGTTGAATCAAATATCCTCCTCCTCCTCCTCGCTTGCTTGTGAATGATTAAAGCCCTCCCTTGTTCTTCTTCCCCGCTCTCTCTCTCCCGTCCCCGTCCGGTGTTACTGTAGAGGCGACGCTATTTGTTTAATGATTATAGGTGATTATATTATAGACCTAATGAGGGAACAGGTGCAGAGATGGGGCGCTGGTTAGCATCGCAGGCGCAGCGCTCTTCCACAGTGGGGTGCTACATAACCGTGTTGGTACAAGGATACACCGGGAACAGTCGGTAATTTCCGCGCACTCACTTATATGGTGCTGTCAGCCTGGCTCGACCGGTCAATATAGCTAACCGTTTGATGGTGGGAGTGTTAACTCGTTATTGCTTAGACTCACCCTACTTAATTCTGACCACTGGCCGAGTGAGTGGACTGCAACTCGTTGCTGCTTACTGCTAGGGAGTTGCAAGCCACTTGCTCTGACCACTGGCCGAGTGAGGGGACTGCAACTCGTTGCTGCCTACTGCTAGAGAGTTGCACGCCACTTGCTCTGACCACTGGCCGAGTGTGCTATGAGTGAGTCGAACTCGTTGCTGCCTACTACACATACACGTGGCCCCCGTCCATCCAGCATTCCTCCTTCCCCCTCCCCCTCCCATCCCCCTACCCTTCCCCCATTTCTGCATGCCCCTGTGTTGATAGTGATCTGGGGTCTGGGGGATAGCATCCACCCGCGACCCCTATTGTTTTACGCTCGAAAACCAGAACTCAGACTCAAGTCGTTGCCAAGTCGGAGCTCGGGCCACGGGTCTTTTGAAGTGGCCTACCATTACCATTATAACGAGATCAGGGCCAGATTGGGGGGCCGCGCAACGCTCGTCTTTCTCTCAGCGCTCAAATACCATTGTGCGGCGCGGTCGTCTGCCTGTTGCTGTCAATCAAGATGACGTCACGCGCGGGGGGCGGAGCGTGGTGGAACTACAGCGGCGCGGCGGTGGCGCGGGCGCGCAGTAGTAGTTGACTAGTTGAGCGAACGGTGCGTTCACACACACACACACACACACACAGGCAGTTAGGCAGCCACGCATCCTCTCGCTCTGCTGTTTGTGCATGTTGTGCGTGCTGGAATGACGGACCGGCTAGTACGAGTAGTATAGTTTACATCAGACTCTACTGCGAGTGTGGGACTCGGCACTGCAGCGATCGACAGTTGGACCCGTTAGCATCGATTTTGTTACGATATTATCCACGAACGGACCTACACTGGACGTCGCTTCGTCTTGTTCGTGCCAGACATCAGTCGACGTGTGACTTTGTGTGTAAACTTGTTGAAGTGATCAGAGAGAAAGAGAGAGAGAGAGAGAGACGCGTGCACATTGGATTGGATTTTCGCGGAGTGCCCGTCTTCGCTTGCCTTGATCGGACATCGGTTGTAGTGTTATAGTACATGGTGCGTGTTCGATTCCTGTGTTTTCCTCTTGCGATCTGACATTTGCGTGTGTGTGTGTCTCGGTTGTGTGCGCGAGCAGTGCGGTGCAGCACACACATGCGGCCGCATTTTCGCCTGCTGTCAGAGTAATGCCGGCAAGAGAGGGAGACGGAGAGAGAGAGGGAGACAGAGCGAGAGAGAGAGAGTGAGAGAGAAAGAGAGAGAAAGAGAGAGAGAGAGAGAGAGAGAGAGAGAGAGAGAGAGAGACGGAGAGCGCGCGCGCGTTAGAGAGAGAAAGAGGGAGAGAGAG